AATATGCTCATCATGCAAATAACATTAGCTAAATTTCTAAAATCAAAACCCAAAATCGAATCCAGCAATTTTTTAGGGAAAAAATTCAAGATTTTGTATATTCCATATTTTTAGAAGGCTTGGCACCAAGATTAACCTAAAAAGTTGAAAATAAGTCTCCTTCTAAAGTGGATGGTAGCTGAAATCATAGTAACCCCCGCTCTTTTTAATACTTCTTATGTGTAATTTTCATAGTGATTACTTGCAGAGATTTTGAAGGGTTCTGTAGTTTCAGGTATGATCAAAATTTGTGTCCTCTGATAAATGGACACAATATCAGTCAAATTTGAGGAGCTCCATAGCGTCCAATGTAAGCGTTAGACACAAATGTTCTTTTTGAACTGTGTAGGCTTCATATTTAGGAGACATGAAAAGGCTTAGGAACCTGCTAGTCAAAGTTTATAATGCTATCAACACTACTATTTGTAAAATGCAATACAAGTTATATCTTACTTATAAACATAATTCCAAGGATTTTCCATGCGTTTGTTTTGTCAAATTCCGCATTTATCTACCAGAAGATTTTCAAAATTATGCTAGAATGAGACATGGTAATTATTTCAATGGATAGCTAAAATCAAGACTGACACATAAGTGCCAAAATCAAACAATGATTATTAAAAGTGCTTAAGCTAAGGAGTGGTTCTCCATTGGTAGATGGTATATTCTGATGTACAGTTGTATTATTCTGTAATAGCTAGTATATATAAAGGAATGGTATATTTGCAATCCAATTTGCTGCTTCAGGAAAGGAGCCCTAAAAAAAGACCTTCCAGCAGAGTACTCAAAGCTACTGTCACATAGGTGCTGAATTTAGAGGCTAGAGGGGAATGCCCATGATGCAAAGAAATGTGTGTGTATATATATATATATATTTTCAGATCATAAGGTGCCAAGAAAGAGAAGTATATGAGACTCAGAGATGAATTATGGCAATTCACATAGGTGACGTGCCACTGGTAATGGACGGTTCTTACTTGGTTGACTAAACAAAGCTAGAGAGAGGCAAGCTCTAAGGGGAAATGCCACTGTTGCTCCCTGCTACAGCAATGTTCAGACGTTCCAAGACAAACAATCAAAGACACGAAATTACCAAGATCCCAGTCCCCTTCTCTTACAGGCCAACAGCAAGTTGGCAAGCAACCAAGTGAACCCTTCTTTCTTACAATATCTAAACCCTCATTTTTCTCTGCTCCCGTACGGGGTCCAAACCAAAGAAAGGTATTAAACAAATCCTCCAAGAACAACTAACCAAGTCCAAGTGTACTCTTCTCTCTCGCAATCTTCTCAACTACGGTACGGCATATACATGATTTGCTTACTCTAGAAAAGTATGAGTCTCATTGATTAGTAGGATATAAGCTACGAGTTCTCTACAGAAATCCTAGCTTCCGGACTTTAGAAGGTTGGTTTACATTCCACCAAAGCTAATAAACAGTGTCCTGGTAGATTTTAAAATTATGCAAGCTAGGGTGTAAAGCATTTTTTGTCTGTAACAACAACGATGACAATCGTTGTGGATTAATTTTAGATATGAGCGAACTAGAAAGGTGACAAAGTAACAAAATTGTAAAAAGAACTTAATTTTACATCCTTCCAGACGTCTTTGGTTCTTCGGACTAACCTTTGCAAACTGCTCCAGTAAGATTGCACATTCTTCCTCAGTAGCAATTTGGGAGTCAAGTGCCTGCTGCATCTTAAAATCTACAGAATCGATCAACGCATCTGCCTCCCTCAATGAATTCATGCAAGCTTGTTTCTCCTTCTCAGCAGCCGAAAGGTCTTGGCTGACCCTTTCAGCCCTTTCAAAATCTTCGGCTTCACAGGCTTCTTCCAACTGCATTTCAAGTTCCATGTACTTAACAGAAGCAAGATTCGCATTCTCAAAGGCTTTTCTTCTATTCCTGATCGAATCCTTCCGGACAGCAGAAACAGAGGCTACCAGTTGATGGGCACTGTTAAGCTTCTCATCTATCCGCGCCTTGATCTGTCGAAACTCTGACTCAGACAAAGAATCATGAGAAGTTTTACTTCCCGGAGAAGTTTCTTCTTCTTTCTGATTAGGATTAATCTCAGATTTGGAATTATCATGAGAAGATTCATCGGCTGGTGGGATAACACCAGCATCCGAGGTGATCTCTGGGGGATGGGACGCAAGGGCATCCACATCAGGCAAGGAATAGGCGTTTTGCAAGACATCAGGGGTTTCAGAACCGATGTGACTAGAAATCGGAATAGGATGTTCAACTGGCGGAGAAGGAAGATGAGGCAGATCGTCAGAAACGGTGTCTCTACCATATCCTATCCTCAAGCCGGCTCGCTTTTTCTTTCTGGAACTCTGTCTCGTGGTAGTTGTTGTGGCGGCCGAAGCACCAGCGGCATCAGCGCCAAGTACAGATTCATTTGTGCCTGCGGATGGTTGATGGGATTCTGAATGGAGGGGAAGCTCAAGTTCAGCTCCTTGAGAATTTGGGAGGGAAGTGACAAGTGTGAGGTCGGAGAAGAGATTTTCATCGAGGGGCTGCGAAGAAGGTGACGGTGCGACAGCAGATGTCGTAGGAAGATCATCTTGACGATGTTGAAGACTGTCATCAGTACGATCGTGTTGTTGATCATCTGGGCTGGGGTCTTCTTGAATTTGGGAAGGATTAAATAGGACCATCCCCTCAAATAGCGAATCGATATCATCATCTCCATTTCCTGCCATCATTCGACTTCCAATTCACAAAAATCTGAGGATCAGTTTCTGATAGCTAAACCCAACCGAACTGGAAGTCGAGGGCCAAATTCAAAAGTAGCTTCGCTTCCTCGTTTCTTCCCCGTTGTTTTTGTACGGGGGTGTTTGGGTTTTACTTGCTTTGAAGAGAAAATCATGGTTTAAAAAAAAAAAAGAAAAATATCCAAACACTACCCTGTATATTTTTTTAAAATCATTTTTCAATTTGAAATTATGGTTTGTATAAAAGTAACCAAACACTATAATTTTTTTCAAAATCACTTTTTATTTGGAAATCATGGTTTTGGGTATAAAAGCATGGTTTTTCATGAAGCGAATTTTTTTTGCTTTTAAAGGTATAAAATCATGGTTTGGGATATAAATATATATATATACACATATCAATTACTACCTTTAATCCTTTATATAAGAATTAGAAAACTAATTTGTAAATATTAAGAAAATTAGTTAAATTATTTATTTATAATAAATAGGTGTTGCATTCTCTAAAACACCTATTAATGATATGCATTGGGATGTGCAAATTAACATGAGGACTACTTTGCAAAAATAAATAAATGTATGAGACAAGATAAATTGATATCTTATATTCAAAATTAAATGAAATACCCAATTAGCTCTTATACTAAGGACCAGAGATAATATTAATTATATTTTCCATATATAATTTATTATTTACAAATTTATTATTTCAAATAAAAATATACATTAAAATCTATCATTTATCTAATTATCATATTAGTTTATATTCTTTTTAGTAATTTGTATATAAAAGAAAGTTTCTGATAACAATTATTCAAATATTCTCACTTTATCAAAATCACTTTTTTTCAAAATATATTCTCAAAATCTATTCTTCTAAAATCTATTCACAGAATCTATTTATTTAAAATCTATTCTCCAAAAACTATTCTCTAAACCATAATTTGGTTTCATCCAAACACCCCCGTAGTCATTAACATTTACCAACAGTTTTTTGGAAAAATTGGGATAAATCCTTGTTAAAAATTTAATTGGGAAATAATGTTTAAGGACTTTGTACAACTTAACTTCTATTGTGTATAAATTAACTTTTTTATGCAATTTAATTTTTGCTTGTGTGCAATAATCTTACTTTGTGCGTTATGCAACTCAATTTTTCTTTATGTAAATGAAATTATCTTTTGTGCAAGTTATTTTTTTTATGCGTAAACTAATTCTTTATATCCAAATAATATTCTATACAAACTATTTTCTTTTTGTACAACTTACGTTCCTTTGTGTGTAACTAATTTTTCTTTATATAATCAATCATTTTAGATCCCTTTGTCGGTTAAATTTTTAATAAGAGATTTATCTCCAATTTATCTTATTTTTTTAAAAAAATATTTAGTACAGGTCGTGTCTAGCAATAACACTAGAGGTTTTAAGTTCATAGTAATTAAAAAAAATATTAAAATAATTTTAATGGTAAATTATTTTTATTTTATTCCACTTGTATCTTATCAAAATATTGAATTATTGATTAAATTGTTAACACATTTTATTAATTATTAAATTTATTTATTACTTTAAAATAATTTTTAAATCTGAATATTTCAGTTTAATTGCTATTTAAAATTTTAAATCGTTTGATAGTTTTCGTAATAAATTTGCTAAAACAGAAATATTAGTCAACTTTGGTCCTTGCTGCCAAATCACACCCACGATGAAATAAATGATTGCAAAATGCTCTTATAAACAAGTCTACCAAAAAAAAAAAGTTGGAAGAATTATCCTTCTTGAGAATTTAACTGTAATTCAATGATACTTAAACCTAACAATACCAAATATTAGATACAAAGATCATGTGCTCATTTCAGAATATTTTTTATCAAAATCTCCAATTACAACCCAACTCCTAAAATCTCATCCAAGCTTCCACGATTTCCCCTCACGAAAGAACTTAACCATCAGTCACAGTCACAATAAGGTCCGTTTGAAGCCAAAACAAATATAAAACATCCTGACATATCCTGAATTATGTCAAGTCAAACAAATATCAATCATCTATAAATCACTATAAGCAATAAAATTTGCTATGGAATCAATAAAGGTTTACAAGAAATATGAACTATAATTTATCTACCATTAAGAAGAGATGTATGTCAAGTTACTACTTTACAGTTTACACAACACTTAAAAGCATGACAAATAATGTAATGAAGTTAAGAGATTGTAAAGAGGCGATTGATGTTTGTTGTCATCAACGAACAGATTTTTCATCTTAATGGACCCACCATACTCACCTTGCAATTTTCTTGGCAAGCCAAATACAAATAAATAACCTCAACATAACGAATATTAACGATTAAAATAATTAAGAGACATTGCTAATGAAGGGGGACCCACTTTCTAAATGGATGTGTTTAAGCAGATACACAGAAATCTTTGCTGCCAAGTAAACTAGACAGAAGAAACAAATCAAATAGAACACATTAACATTGCCTGTGGATCCCTTTCTAACAAATCATACCACCAAAACCTGATTCATTCTACCCTTTAGTCTCACCAAGTTCAACATCCTTCAAAGGTTTCTTTTCAACCTCCTCTTTTAATAGTCTGATTTCTTCTTCTGTCAGGCTGTTTTTGACATGGGACGCGGCCTTGGCATTTGCCTGCTTTTCAGCCTCTACAGCCCAACTGTAAACTACCATGCCAACAACGGCAAGAATCATCCCCATGATATTCTTGAAAGTTAGCTCCGAATCAAATAGCAGCCACCCCAATGTCAGGACACATACAGTTTTCATGTGACCTAAAACCTGGAAGGAGGTGGCTGAGAAGCGTCCGATGCAGAGGTATTGGCTCATATTGCAAAATACAGCAAGTGAGCATGAAAGAAGAATGAACAACTGCAAACATTTCACAGCAACATATAAATAAATCATTTTTAACACTATCTGTATAATTTGAGAGAGGCACACAGAATATGACAGCGACTTGTCTCAACAAGTAGAGAGAATGACTACTTACAATTGCACCAGTGGTCATCTTATAGTTGGTTATCAACTTGCCATTAAGGAAGTAATCAACAAACGGACCAAGAATAAGAAGAGAGAGGGCTTGAATAGGAGCTGTCTTGCTCAGCAATTCAAAAGATCCAATTGAATATTTCTTTTGCAAAGAACCTATTGTCTGTCACAATCATGGGGATAAAAAAATCAGTGATACAAATAGCGTATATGCAAGTATTTTCTCTACACTCAGTTGACAATCAAGTCAATGTGCATGTCCAGAGAGAGAGGGGGGGGGGAGTCTTTATAACATCTAATAAAGAATAACAATTATGCTCAGTTATGACAATAGATGTCAAATTGCTTGCATAGCTAGTAGTGTTGTTACTTACAATTTGCTGTAAAGATGTTGATAAAACTGCTACACAGGCACACATGAAACCTTTGAAGTTAACTTTTACATCAGTTACAGTGCAAACACCAACACCAATAACTACGACCAGGACTGACAACTTCACTTCCTTTGAGTAGTGCTTGCTATGAAGTATCCATTCCATTACACAAACCACTGGAATCATGCTCAGTTTAGATATCTGTACATATAAACAGAAAGAAATTAATAAACGCAAGATAGAGGCAGTGAAAATTAGAAACAGCAGGCGATCAGTTTTGAAAGTTACAACACAAGGGTAAAAGCTGGGAATCATGGGAATGGAAACAAGAGCCTGACAACAATTTTTGGGTAAATTTTAGAATACAAATAGCTTCTTTCACTATTTGCATTTCACAATTGCATGTCTTAGTTTTATAGAAAGATTCTGATAAGGAATTAAGGAAATTACCCAAATGCATGGTAAAATTTAGAATTTATAATGGTGTTTTTATTTGAAAATAATTACTATTAAAAAAACAAAGCCTTTTTCATCAATTCAACAAACGACTCTTAAAAATAACAATTTCTATAACTGAAACCGTGCTGTTCAAGTGCCCCATCAAAATGAAAAACGGCTTCTACTTCTTATTACAGATTTACCAAAACAAGGATCTATTTGGGGGGAAAAATCGGAAGGTCTATCCAAACGAGACCTGATTAAAACTAACGTCTGCACAGCTCTTAAAACACTATACCAGATTCAGTTTTGGGAAAATTTCCATCGTTTATGCTTATTACAACTAACAAAACATATCTCTTTGGTTAACTGGAGTCAGACGTGTAGGATTGACACCACTTGCACCAGCAGATAGTCAGATGAAAGATGTATTCCTCGTTTAACAACATGCAGATCAATCAAAAAATACAACCAATTATGGAAGGCTTATATAGTTTTACCCCGCGCGTGTTTGATAAAGATCTACATGGTTGACTATCGAGATTATATAAAGTGAAACATCTAATGCATTATAAGGGATGGAAACTTTAAACATATAGCTGGAAAATAGAAAAACGGAAAGATGGGGAGAAATACGACTATACAGATAATGAACATTGTTGAATACCTCATTTCCATTTCAAAAAACAAAAAAGAACATAGTAATGATCATCAGAAAATCATACCTGGTAAAACCCCACCGAGTTTAGCATGAGGCTGAAGTTCATCCCTGTGATAGACATATTGGCAACCACTGAGAACCACAGAAGCTCCCACAGAGGCACATGCTTTGACGCAGAATAACCGGTAGCATTTGACACTAGACCCACGATAGCAGTTACAGCAAAGTGAAACCCAGTTAACGTAGTGGCTGAAAGAGCAAATGAGACGAGAGAAAGTTAATAAATCAGAAACCTCATACAATGGTAAGCTCATAACCCATGAGCAGAAACTGTAGCATACAACGATATAAGAAGTTGACGTCGTGCTACTAAGCTGCAGAACAATTTCAACAGCATAAATAATACAAACATAAAGTACATTGTAAATTAAGGGGGAAAGCAAAGGAAATGCGACGGAATTTAGATCGCGACTTAAGAATAGAGTAGATCCAGTGAGTGGAAAGATCAAACAATGTCGGAGGAGAAGGCAGGGATCTAATGCTTCTAGATCCAAACAGAAAAAAATCACAGTTGAGAAGAATGAGGACTGACCAAAACTGAAACCATAACCACTGCCGGACATGAGCTGTTTGTTGGCCATGATGATCCCAACAGAGCTGACAACGTTCATGGCCCATGCTCCCACATCAGAAATCGCCGACGACTTCTTCTCGTTCTCCATCTTCTATCGCGCGCGGAGGGTTCCAAAAACAAAACAATTCAGATTAATTTAAACCGAATAAACACGAGATATAGAACAATCTCCGAGGAATAACCGCTACACCGACAACAGATCTGAGGGAGCCAGAGAACCCGACGCGGCAGATTCAGAGAAAGGAGAAAGGAAGAGATATGAATCTGTGCGGCAAACAGGTTGCCAATTTGAAGGGCGAATGTGGAAGAAAGGGACGAAAAAGAAAGAAAAGAATGGAAAAGGAAAATGAAAGTTGATTGAGAAGGAAGAAAAGTGAGGGAGGAAGGATTCACGCTTGGATTGGACTTGGAGGATTGAGTTCCGGTGGAGGCAGCTCGGCCCTTTGAGTACGTCTCTCCCCTCCCACAACACTTCCTCGCAGTTTCTGGCTCTCCGTCACATTCCAGTCTCTCTCTATGTGCTCACTGATCTGTAAATCTTGCCTTCCTTGTACATTTCAAAATAGATCTACCACCTGTTGCTTTTCGGATTTGAATCCCCTGCCGAGTTACTTATCGCCCGATTATATATTGAAGACGAAAAATTATCTAGGCTTTTTTAAAATCAACCTCCGTATAAAATTAAAATATAAAGTTTATAATTTTTCTAATGATGAATGATGACTGCTAATTCACAACATTTTCTCGTATTTTTTGGCGGCTTGTAAGAAAAATTATATGATTCACATTGACTTAATTTTTTTTTTGACCAGCACTTAAAATTTTATATTGATTCATTTTGCTTCCCATATTATCATAAATGTTTGTTTACATCAATCACTGTCAAAGACAATTATAACAAATACCGTCATTAATTGTATGAGTTTGTATTTAATTATATTAAAGAGTTTTTGTACGATAACTTATAATACTATCTTTAATAAATTCTAAATGATTAAATAATTATCTATTTATACTGAATATTTGTTGCATTAGAAAATTTAAAATACAAAAGTATTTATATTTAATTATAATTAAATTAAAATTATTTTGGCTGTTGCATTTCAGCTACACGCTATTTGGTATATTCCAGAGTGATCCATTATTTGTCAATTATTTCTCTATTTTTAAGGTTAAAGCAGTATCCATCTATAAAATGGAATTTCAATTCATCCATAATGCAAATCTCACGTGCATAAAATATTATGCAAATTTTTTTTGGTGGAAAAAATGTGGCCTATGGGAAGCTCTCCTTAGAAGAGATGATGTGCCTGTATTAATGTGAGTAAAAAAAGAAAAAAGTAGAGAGAACGGAGAAGTACCCAACTTTTTCTCTTTCTATCCTCCAGTAGTCCAGTGGAGTTGGATTAATATTTCTTACCTATTTAAACTTGAAGCAGCTTACCTATTTTAGTGGGTTGTTTTCGGGTTGAACAATGCTTTTGCTTCCCCCC